GCTTCAAACCCTGGGTAGGGTCCCCAGACACTGTCTCCAACTCAGCTTTCACACCAGTGGGCTTCAAACCCTGGGTAGGGTCCCCAGACACTGTCGCCAACTGACTTAAAGATACCATGAGACTGTGGTAGTAGTGAGCTTAGACTGGGATTGGAACTGGGGGGAGAAATAAAAGCACAAAGGAAGACTGGTTGAAATAGAAAGAAAAGGCTGGGGGAAGAGGCTCACACCTGCAATCCCAGCACTCTGGGAAGCCGAGGTGGATGGATTGCTTGAGCTGATGAGTTCAAGACCAGCCTGAGCCAGAGTGAGACCCTATCTCTACTAAAAATAGAAAAACTGAGGCAAGAGGATCACTTGAGCCCAAGTCGGAGGTTGCTGTGAGGAGCTATGATGCCACAGCAAAGTCTCCTCAAACTAACCAGACTTCTAAAGAGCCAGCCCATCAGCATGAAAATATCACTGTGCCTAAGGAAGTGCAGTGGGTAAGGTCCAGAAACCCAGAAAGTATTATTTCTTACTAATTAAAAGAAAAAAGTAACAGGATGAGTAGACAGGAAGGCCTCCGTATGCCCTATTTTTTTTCTTTCTTCCCATCCAACAAATTAGTGGATAATGATGGAGTGAAGGAAGCATTAAACAACTAGAAGCAGTAGTCAATCAGAGCTTCCAAATAATTCCACCCTGAATTAAATAAAGGCAGGCCAAGCAAAGTGGCTCATGCCTGTAATCCTAGCACTTTGAGAGATTGAGGTGGGCAGAATGCTTGAGGCTAAGAGTTCACAGCCAACCTGGGCAAAAAGAAACCCCCATCTCTATAAAAAATTTAAAATTTAGCCAGCAATGGTGGCATGTGCCTATAGTCCCAGCTGCTCACTTGACCCCAGGAATTTGAGGTACCAGTAAGCTAAGATGAAACCACTACATTCCAAGCTACAAAGCAAAGCCTTGTCTCAAAAAAAAAAAAAAAAAAAAAAAGTACCATCATTATTAGGAGGTGTACTTAGAACGTTTCTGTTATAATTGTATATACCAATCTTAATTTAAAAAAAAAAACTTTTAAACAGTCTTTTTAATTAAAGTCTAATTTTTATTAAAGTAAAATATACTTATCTGATTTACTATCTTTATCATTTTTCAGTATACAATTCAGTAGTAATAAATACATTTTTATTCTTTTTTTCCCCTCGTCTTCCTCCTACTTCCCCAAAACAATTTTTATAGTCACAGTAGGACTTCATATTTTTAAGGAAGAAATCTCATTTTCTTGAGTGTTATTTTCAGCCTTTTAACATAATCTATAATCCTTTACACAGGAAAACAGTAAGGAACATTTATTTAATATTTTAAGATGATACTTGAACAACTTTGTCTTTCATTTAGCAAGCATCACGTGAAGCATGTTATGAATGGAAAATGTTAAGTGATAATGTATCATTTGCTGCTGTCATTTTAGGTGAGGTGGTTGTAATGTATAATTGAGTGGGGTGGCTTTTTTCCAGAATGGAATCACTGGTTCCACTTGTACAGAGTTTGAAAAAACGGATGGAAGTGCCAGACTATGAAATGGTAAATATTTTATATTAAAGTATAAAACAAACCCTTTATAAAGATAATTTTCTGAGTAGAAACTTTTTTTTCTGTTATAGCATTTCACTTTTATTTATGTTTCTGTGAAGTCTGAATGAATTATTAAGAAAAGAAATAAGTGAAAAACTACATACTCTTTAGAAGCCACAATACTGGGAAAGTTTTCCAGGAAAAAAATGTCCTTTTTTAAATGTTATATATGAAGCAAAAATACTGTTTTTTGTTTGTTTGTTTAATATGTGGTTCTAGCTTTCCCAAAGTAGTCTAAAAATGTTTCTAACATATGTTTGCAATTTTTAAAGAATAACAAATTTATTTTATTTATTTATTTATTTATTTATTTTGCAATTTTTGGCCAGGGCAGGGTTTGAACGCACCACCTCCAGCATTTGGGGCTGATGCCCTACTCCTTTGAGCCACAGGTACCTCCCATTAATTTTTTTTTATTTTTTATTTCAGAATATTACAAGGGATACAAACGTTTTGGTTACATGCACAACTTTTGTACAGTTTGAGTCAAGGTTATAATTGTGTCTGTCCCCCAGATAGTGTCCCTTATGCCCATTGGATATGAATTAACCCATCCCTCCCTCTTCCCTTCCACTTGCTGGATTTCCATTGAATTTTACTACCATATGTACATATGCATGTTGATCACTAACACCAAAGTGAGCACATGTCAGGTTTGTTTTTCCATTTTTGTGATAGTTCACTTGGGAGGATGGTCCCCAGTCTCCAGGTTGTTACAAAAGATCCTAATTCAGTATTTTGTTGATGGCTGAGTAGTACTCCACAGCAGACATATGCCACATTTTAGTAATCCATTCATGGGTTGATGGGTGCTTGAGTTGTTTCCACTTCTTTGTGATCATGAATATATTATAATGTGTGCTACTATAAACATTCAAGTGCAAGTGTCTTTTTTATAGACTGACTTTTCCTTTTGGGTAAATTCATAGTTGTGAGATTGCTGGATGAAATGGTAGATCTACTTTTAATTCTTTGAAGAACCTCCACCCAACTTTCCAAAGAGCTTGTACTAGTTTGCAGTCCCACCAAAGGTGAGGGGATGTTCGTTTCTCTTCACATCCACGCCAGCATCTGTGGTTTGGGGACTTTTCAATAAAAGCCATTTTCACTGGAGTTAGGTGATATCTCACTGTGGTTTTGATTTGCATTTCCCTGATGGTTAGAAACATTCAGGATTTTTTCATGTGTTTATTGGCCGTTAGTCTATCTTCTTCTGAAAACCTTCTATTCATGTCTTTTGCCCACTTAATGGAGTTTTTTGATGTCCTCTTGCTTATTTGTACGAGTTCTTTATAGAGTCTTGTTTTTAGCCCTTTATCAGATGAACAGCATACAGATATTTTCTCCCATTCTGTGGGTTGTCTTTCCACTCTATTGATTGTTTCCTTGGCTCTGCCAAAGCCATTTTAATCTAATCCGGTCCCATTTATTTATATTTGTTCTTGCTGTGATTGCCTCTAGGGGCTTCTTGATAAATTCTTTGCCTACACCCATATCTATATGTAAGAGTTTTTCCAACCTCTTCTTCTAAAATTCTTATAGTTGCATGCCTTAAGTTTAAACAAAAATGGCATGGTCCTGGCATAGGAACAATGGACACACACCAGAGGATCCGAACAGAGAACTCAAGATACAAAACCATCCTCATATTGCCATTTGATCTTTGACAACACAGACAAAAGTACACGCTGGGGAAAAGAATCCCTGTTCAATAAAATGGAGCTGCGAAAATTGGATGACCTCGTGTAAAACAGGATCCTCACCACTCACAAAAATTAACTCGTAATGGGTAACAGACTTAAACCTAAGACATGAAAATGTAAGGACTATGTATTTGAGTTTTTTAATTTTGTCTATGATCAGATCTTCTTCACCAGAGGAAAGAAAGTACACAATTTTTAAAATCCTCTACTTTCCATCAATTCATATTTATATTTCCTTCTTCTTTCTTTTCCTCTCTATTTGAAAACTTTTCTGATTTTAAAACCAAAAATAACCCAGACGAGGTAATCCTATAATCCTAGCACTTTGGGAGGCCAAAGCTGTGTCAATTTAAAAAATTTTTTAAAGGTGTCAGCAAGGACATTAATGATTAAAAAATCTCTTAGAGGGCGGCGCCTGTGGCTCAAAGGAGTAGGATGCGGGCCCCTTTGATAGAGGTGGCAGGTTCAAACCCAGCTCCAGCCAAAAACTGCAAAATAAAACTCTTAGAAACAATAAAACATTACAGTATAATTTTCATTTTTCTCATTTTCAGGTTCACCAGGCTGGTCTAACCTGTGATTATTCAGAACTTCCTCATCACATCAGCACAGAACAAGAAATAGAGTGTCTTATTCAGTCCGTGTATTATTTATTAAAAAACTTACCAAAACCTACTCTTGTGACAATTGCAAGGTGAGTGTAGTAGGCTGAATAACAGTCCACCAACGATGTCCACGTCCTAATTTCTAGAACCAATGAATATGTTGCCTTAATGGCAAAAGGGATTTTGTAGGGTGATTAACTTAATGAATTTGAGATGAGATTTTCCTAGATTATCCAGGTAGACCCAATTTAATCACAAATGTTCTTAAAAGGAGGAGACCAGAAGGTCAGAATGAGAGAGCAAGCTTGGAAGAGTCTACATTGCTGGCTTTGAAGATGGAGTAGGGGTGGCAAACTAAGAAATGCAGCAGTCGCTGGTAGCTAGAAAAGGCCAGGGAACAGGTGCTCCTGTGACTCCTGCAGAATCAGTACCTTTATTTTACAACTTCTGACCTAAAAACTTAAGATAGCAAGTTAGAGTTGTTTTAAGCCACTAAATTTGTTGTAATTTTTTATAGAAACAATAGGAATAATAACAGTCTCTGTAGGTGAATCTAATGAATTCTAATACTTAACCAATTTTTTTTTCTCCACTCAGCTCAAAATTCAGATGTATGTTCTCTTTCCTATTAGTGATGATAGGCAAACAATGTATAATGATCGTTATCTTGTCTTTGAATTTTATGATATCAAATGAACATAAGAATTCTCATTTCTGTGTCCTATGGGTGAATATTTAGCTACTGCTATGTTTTAAGTTTGATCATAATTGCTAAATAGGTATAACAATTTAAGAACACTTTTTTCTCTGTATGTGTTAATCTTTGGGCTGGTTTTATATGGAAATATGAGGCTCTAAAATAAATACTTTAAATCTTATACTAAGGCTAATAATAATATTTATATAATATTTTGTGACAAATATTTTTACCACCTTTTTTAATTTTAAAACAAAATTTATAGATAATATAACCTACCTATATGTATAATTTAAATATATATAGATAATATACATAACATATAGTAATGTAACCTACCTATACACTTAACTAGACTATCTGCATGTACACAGAATAACATTATAACATTAAGGAGAAATAAGTGATCGGTCAGCCTCCAGTGTGCGCAGTACTAATATGAAACTAGCAGATGAACAACTATAGGCCCACCCGAGAGAAAAACGTAAACTCAAGAAGGGTGAAGCAGTGGAGGGTGGGGGTTTGGTAAGCTCTCATCGGACAGGTATAATGTAGGGATATAGATAACTGAGTGAAGGGCTCAACTACAGCCTGGACTTCACCTAATAAACGCAACCAACATGGCCCTAATCATATGTAGTCTTACGTTAATCTGAAATTAAAATATATATATATATATACAAATAAAATGAGCTATTAAAAAAAGGAAGTAATTGTAATAAAATAATATGTATTAAAATGCCATACTAGACTGGTATCTTTAAAAGTTACTAGATGTGGCTCAAGTGGCTAAGGCACCAGCCACATACCCCTGAGCTGGTGGGTTCAAATCCAGCCTGGGCCCGCCAAACAACAATGACGGCTGCAACCAAAAAATAGCCAGGCGTTGTGACAGGCGCCTGTAGTCCCAGCTACTTGGGAGGTGGAGGCAGGAGACTCGCTTGAGCCCAGCAGTTGGAGGTTGCTGTGAGCTGTGATGCCACAGCACTCTACCCAGGGGGACAGCTTGAGGCTCTGTCTCAAAAAAAAAAAAAAAAAGTTACTAGATGTAGCAGTTCCAAATGCAGATAGATGCCCATGTTTTGTATCGGCCATGGTACCAGGAACCAGGTACCATGAACAGCCCAGTCATAGTAATGTTTTCCTGACCATTGAACAACTTCTTAGTGAAGGTCTAAACTTAGAAGTTCAGTCTTTCCTCAATTCACAGAGTAGTTACATTCATGGAAAATATAGTTCATATTTAATGTACTTTCAAAAATACTCTGTTTATATATAAAAAAAGATGTTGACTTGTAGGCTTAAAAAAATAAAGACCACCCTCTCACTTATGTAAATACTCAGTAGACTTTGGAAACTAAGGCACAGGACAGTTATTCACACTGCAGGACTATCCGGCAGGTTGCAAGTATTCTAGCAGCCTAGCCCTTTTGTCCCAGTCCCCTAAATGTCAGTGGCATTGCTCTAGTCAGTGTGGCCATCTAAAATGTACCAAGAGATTTTTAAAACACCCTCTTGGAGGTAGGTAGCTTTTATCAAGAACCACTCTAATAGTGCTTAAAAGAAGTCAGAAATCTTTCTGAAAGTATTGAAGTACCCTGTGTTCGTTAAGACTTGTAAATTAAGCTTCTACATGAAATGCTTTAAAGTAGGTTTTTATCCATGTGTATGTGTTAGTATTTAATAACATAAAGTTGCTCTGCATCATTTATTGTCTTAAAATTTTTACCTCAAGTCTCAAAAATAACCTGATTAGGGCAGCACCTGTGGCTCAGTGAGTGGGGCACCGGCCCCATGTACTGAGGGTGGCGGGTTCAGGCCCAGCCCCAGCCAAACTGCAACAAAAAAATAGCCAGACGTTGTGTTAGGCACCTGTAGTTCCAGCTACTTGGGAGGCTGAGGCAAGAGAGTCGACTAAGCCCAGGAGTTGGAGGTTGCTGTGAGCTGTGATGCAACAACACTCTACCAAGGGCAACAAAGTAAGACTCTGTCTCTAAAAAAGTAAAGAAATAAATAAATATAAATAACCTGATTATTGAAGAATGGAATGAGTTTATCAGAGAGCTTACTGATTATTTCTTTAGGTTTAAAATACTTGTGCAGGACACTATGCATAGAGGGATTTCACCCAGCAAAGGCAGGCAGGGTAACCTGGCTCATTATCCCCTCAGTGATTCCCCAACAATAAAACAAAAAAGCTTGTGCTAAGAATTAGTTTAGGTAACTAATTTCAATTCTTTCTGGAAAGCTCTCTATGCCACTCCTTTCCTTACCCCTGTCTAGAACCGGGAGACAAATCAGTTCATACCTTAATCGAGCTGTGACTGGCAGTAACATTGCAGCTGCCCATTGTAACACACGTCGTCCTCCATGAGTTCTGGAAAGACTCCCAAAATACAGATTTCTGGATGAATTTAGTCATTTCTAGCCATAGCATCCACATAATTAAAGAATAATAAAAATGGCTCAGCGCCAGCCACATATACCTAAGGTGGTGTGTTCGAATCCAGCCTGGGCCCGCCAAAACAACAATGACAGCTGCAACCAAAAAAAAAAATCACCGGGCATTGTGGCGGGCGCCTGTAGTCCCAGCTACTTGGGAGGCAGAGGCAGGAGACTCACTTGAGCCCAGGAGTTGGAGGTTGCTGTGAGCTGTGATGCCACGGCACTCTACCCAGGGGGACAGCTTGAGGCTCTGTCTCAAAAAAAAAAAAGAAGAAGAAAGATGCCCAGCCACTAAGGCAATAAATCCCTGTATTCCCAAGCAGATCCTCCATTTCAGGGCACTCATAGTCTAAAGGGATAGTAACTGTAACTGTTTCATAGAGTTGCTGAGAAATTGTAAGAATATAATTCATGTGAAGTTTCTAATATATGACAAACATTTTATAGCTTTCAATTGTTATTATTCCAAAATTCAGTATACCTTCATTTCCATCTTACATTGAAATCCAGAACATGCAAGTTTTTCCTCACAGTATGATTTTATTCTATTTATGTGTATTTTCTTTTTCTTTTTCTTCTTGGTTCCAGATCAAGTCTGGACGATTACTGTCCTCCTGAGCAAGTTGACACCATTCAAGAAAAGGTCCTCAATGTCCTACGCTCCCTCTATGGGACTCTGGACATTCACCATGTGTATTCAGAAGAGTCTTCTCCATCTTGAAACAACACTAGGTTCCTGTTACAACTTGACGTAGTAACAGGATTTTCACTAATTTATTTGTAAATGCGACTTCCAGAGAACACTGTTTTCATGTTAACTTTCAACTGAAATATTTCAGGTATTTTGAGTCTTCAAACAACCACCCTCAATTGTTGAATGATTATAATTTTCTAGAGTTCAAGACTAGCCTGAGCAAGAGTGAGACGCTGTCTCTACTAAAAATAGAAAAACTAAAGCAAAAAGATCTTTCGAACCCAAGAGTTTGAGGTTGCCGTGAGCTATGAGAATGCCGTGACGCTCTACCCAGGGTGACAAAGTTAGACGGTGTCTCAAAGAAAAATAAAAACGCAAAGAAAGAAAATTTTCTGTTAGAGTTCTATAAATATTACTTCTATGAATAAATTATTTTGTGTGCTAAAAGAAGTTAAAAGGTGTGTTTTGAGGTTTGGAAAATTTTAAATCAAACTCTAGCATTATTTAATTGTATATCATCTCAGGGTATTATTTATGGCTTTTATTTCAGTAGTCTGATTTGCTAGTCATTTATTATGATTCCCACAAACTCTGGTGTTAGTCATCATTGTTTTAACTCAAATAAAACAGCATCATTTTCCTTTATAAGAACATTAAGATGCTTTAATTCTCATGCTCTGTAATCAACTCCTTGAAGAATAAAATTGAGGCCCTACTTGTTGAATAGAACCAAGTCGACATAATAAATCATGTCTCTCCCTTCCAAATAGGAAACTATTTAGTTGCTCAAGATATCCTTAATTTGTTTTCTCAGCGCCAGTGAGGGAACACCACAGTGCAGTGTGGATTATGTGCAGATGGCATTAGAAAATGGGATTCCAGCAGTTTTTTGAAAAACGTGACTTAAATGTAAGAGGAGACCCTAGCTTTGATACTTGCTATTTATATTTCCTGGTATCTAGGAGGAAATCATTTTTTTTTAGGTCCAGCATTTGATAACACATACCTTTTTTATTGAGATAGGTTCTCACTCTATCACCAGGCTAGAGTGCCGTGGTATCATCATAGCTCACAGCAGCCTCAAACTCCTGGGCTCAAGCCATCCTCCTGCCTCAGCCTCTCAACTATCTGAAACTATAGGCACTCACACCACACACAGCTAATTTTTAAACTTTTGTAGAGCTAGAGTCTCGAACTTCTGCCTCAAGCTATCCTCCTGTCTTGGCCTCCCTCTAGGATTATAGGCATGACCAGCCAATTGATGCCCTTTTGACTGACTGTTTTATATCTTTTTGGAAATATTTGCTGTAGACATCTGTCTTTATGTGTTTCAGGTTCTCAAGGATTTCTTACCCCGTGACCTTCTCTCGGTATATGATAATCTGTCCTGAACTTTGCTTTGTTTTAGCAGTGATACTCTTGGATACCTGGCAATAGATCCATTATACTGACAGTATCAGTATAATGTCAGTGATATAGTCAGTGATCTAAGTCTTAGTCCAGGATTCACTTAGCATACACCTCAAGAGAATGCACTTCCATGAAACTTAAGCAGTTTTTGTTGTACATCTTTCAAATACAGTTGATATACAACCTTGCCTTCTACAGTATACTCATGGCTTGGTGAGAATATTGTCATTTTTTTATTATATATGTTTAAAGTATACAACATGTTTTGATATCTGTAGATGTAGTGAAAGGTTATTATAGTCAAGGAAATCAATATATCCATCTTTTCACAGTTACTCTTTTTTTTGAATGTGTGGCAAGAATGCCTAAAATCTACACTTTTAATAAAAATCCCAGAGACAATACAGTATTATTGGCAAGGTATGGTGGCTCCTGTCTATAATCCTCGCATGATAGAAGGCCAAGGCCGGAGGATCACTTGAACTCAGGAGTTTGAGACCAGCCTGAGCAACATAGTGAAACCCCATCTGTACTAAAAATAGCCAAAATTAGCCAGGTGTTGTGGCAGTTGCCTGTTGTCCCAGCTACTTGGGAGACTGAGGCAGGAGGATAGTTTGAACCTAGGAGTTTGAGGTTGCTGTGAGCTAGGCTAGTCACCACGGGTCTGTCTCAAAAGAATAAAAAATAGGATACTGTAGCCTTCCTGTAGTGTGTCGGGTCTCTAGACTTGTCCATCCTACATGGCTGCCACTTTGTATCCTTGGATGCTTGTACCTTTTCTGTCCTCCCCCCCAACCCTTGGTAACCACAATTTTATTCTCTGTCTCTGTATATTCAACTTCTTTTAGATTCCACATGTAAGGGAGAGGATCATGTCTATAAATACTCGTATTGTACTGTGCCGTACAACTTTGTCTTCAGTTGTAGCACTTCTACTCTAGTGCTTGTTTCTCAACTAGTTGGTCCTGGACTGGCTGTGCGCTTTTATGGGTCTAGCTCAGTGGTTCTCAACCTTCCTAATGCTGCGACCCTTTAATACAGTTCCTCATGTTGTGGTGACCCCAACCATAAAATTATTTTGGTTGCTACTTCAAGACTGTAATTTTGCTACTGTTATGAATTGTAATGTAAATATCTGATATGCAGGATGTATTTAAGTGACCGCTGTGAAAGGGTCGTTTGACCCCCAAAGGGTCACAACCCACAGGTTGAGAACTACTGGAAACTCAGGATTCCAGGCATCAGCACCATCCTTTCCCTTTATTCTCATTAGAGTTCAACAAATGATGACCAGGGTGGTTCCCAGGAACCTGGATTCTTAGAAGAGAAGTCTCTAACCAGGAAACATTCTAGTTGCTCACCAGGAGAGTGTATCTTAATGTGGCAAATTAATAAGTTGACATTCTGTACATTAGTTTCTTATGAGTTTGGTTCTTGTAATTCAGAAACAGGAGCCCCATTAGAGAGGCTAAGGCTGCATGATTTCACTCTGAGGGCCGGCCTTGAATAGTCAACCAACCTCCAATCCCAGCATCCCTACAGTGACGCCAACTTTGAAATGCTCTTGGACAGCGAGAGATCTCTGAAGACAATCCAACAGTCATCCGCACTGTTCAGAAGCTGCCACACCCGACTGGAGGCGAATCATGCCAACACCGAGTGGAGTAAGTTGATGACCCTGCAGTGGGGTGCAGTGGTGAGCGCAGGCTCCGGAGGCCACTGCCTAGCTCCAGCAGCTCCTTCTCCGAGTTAAGCTGTGACCCCTCTAAGCCTCAGCTTCCCCCTTTCCATACCTAGCTCAGTATATTGTAAAGAAAAACACATATAAAGCCCTTAGCACCAGAGTCATCAGTAAACATTGGCTGTTGTTTCCAACTCAGCCCTATTTAGAATATCCTTGGATGGCTGCCCCAGACCCCAGCTGCCCCTTCTCATGCCTCTCCTCTGTATACTGGTTCTTTAAGCCCAGTGTTAGCCCCTATAATATTTCTGTGAATAGAATTGCAAGATTAGAGGTCTATTTAAAAAAGGCAAGTCCCTGGGTGGCACCTGTGGCTCAGTGAGTAGGGCGTTGGCCCCATATACCGAGGGTGGTGGCTTCAACCCAGCCCCAGCCAAACTGCAAAAAAAATAAATAGCCAGGTGTTGTGGCGGGCACCTGTAGTCCCAGCTACTTGGGAGGCTGAGGCAGGAGAATCACCTAAGCCCAAGAGCTGGAGGTTGCTGTGAGCTATAATAACACGGCACTCTACCGAGGGTGATAAAGTGTGACTCTGTCTCTAAAAAAAAGAAAAGGCAAGTCCCTGCCCATAGGAAAGAAGTAATAGACAGCTTTAGGCAAAGCCACTCATAACTTAAAACGTTTGTCTTTCAATTGGGGCAAACATTCATGTATTCACAATTTTAATCCTGTACTCTGCAATTATGGGGGGTTCAGGGAAGTCAAAGTGTACCTTGCATTTTTTTCTGCTTTCCCTTCCACATGCTTGTAAATAAAACTCAGACTTGTGATGGGAAATGTCTGATGCAGACAGTGTTTAAAAGTCAGATGAACTACTCCCCCTGACTCATAAATTACCCTCATAGCATCTAGGGTTATCCTCACCATTTTCAATACTGCTGATTTATAGGTGACTTCATTTATTTTTTGCTGCTGTTGACACAGCATCTGGTTTTATCAATCAGGCTGGAATGTGACAGCGGCATGATTATAACCCACTGTAACCTTGAATTCCTAGGCTCAATCAATCCACCCACCTCAGCCTTCCTGAATGCTGGGATTACAGGTGTGAGCGACTATGCCCAACCTATGGGTAGATTTAAACAAAAAAGTCCCTTATAAATCAGCTGGAGCATTAAGAAAGTAGGGGAAGAGTGGGTGCTTCCAACCAGTTCACCAGTATTTCCAAGTCAATCACAAGCATTTCATTACCTGGGCCTTACTAAAGATCAGCCTTGGCTTATTGAAGGGTAAAGAAAACAGTATCATTAGAGAAAGAGGGCAACTGCTTCTCGGTTGCTTGACAAAGACCGAGTGTAGAGAAAGGGGGAGTGTCTCTGTCAGCTTGGTCTAAGGTGATGCAGCAGCCCAGGAGAGCTGAGCTGATCACTCCATGAGGGAGGAGCAGGGCTCCCATTGCCAACCTTGTGAACAGAAACTACCTGGAGAACAGCACGGCAGCATGGTCCTCCCTCCTCTGCAGCATTGCCCCAACCGCAGCAGGCACAGCAATGAAGGGCACCATCATCACAAAGTGCAACCCAGAATACTGGTGCCTTTGATAGCAGTCCGAGTTCAAGTCCGTGACACTTCTGCCAGTTTCAGGTTGTATGAACTTAGGCAATGTAAAGTGACAGATTCCCTTGATTTAGGCATGTTCCAAGGCCCTCCTTTTCTTCCTAGAAGACTCTGCTGTTCCCTGTCATTGCATGTCAGTTAGCTAGTTACATCTCCTCATTTGACCGTGACCTTGAGGGCATCATCGTACATCTTTGTAGCCCCAGTCTCTGGCATAGTCCCTGTTATATCATAAGGTCTCAAAAAATGTTTACTAAATAAGTACTGAAAATATTAGTGGTCAGGGGAGGGTGGGCAGTGATAAATCTTATTATGTGCCCTATATTATACATCCTATCATGAGTATGCTATCTTTAAGGGCAAATTCAACAAATATTGGCATTGGCCAGGCACGGTGGCTTATGCCTATAATCCCAGAAATTTTGGAGGCCACAGCAGGAGGATCACTTGAGGCCAGGAGTTTGAAACCAGCGTGGGCAAGATAGGAAGTCTCCATCTCTACAAAAAAAAAAAAAAAAAAACCCAACTTTT